CTTTCGACCCACATGTATAAAACTTAGTAAATTTTTGAACTAAGTACAAGCTAGGCAAATATTAAGTCAAACAAGAAAGAATCTAGTAGAGCCTTTCAACCGTATCATTAGCAAACAATTTAGCAAGACTCAATGAAACTAGATGAACTAAAAGTCACAATAATGGGATGAAATTGGAAATATTTTAGCAATTGAATCCATCATGTATGCTACGATATGGAATCGTCACATGACCTGCATGCTTAGAGCATGACAAGTAAAAAAAAACCAATCGACTGGAATCTAATAAGCAATGGATCGTTTGATTATGATCATGAACATCCAAATTACTTGGTTAAGTAAAAGGATGAGTTAGAAAATATTATTTGAATATTGATGTTGCGAGCACAACCTTAGCAAGGATTAGATCCTTAATAAGGAAGTCATTTATAAGCACGAGGTTAAAACACGTCGTGGCTTGAGAATGGCAACATTAACTTATGTCCATGTATATTGTGCGGAAATTTAAGGTAAATTTCCATAACCACAAATGATTAGGGTATCCAAATCAATGTGAGCCAGTTGGAGTAAAATCCAAGCAAAGCATCATTAGAAAATCTGCTAAAGTATATGTTGAGAACATTGTTGCCGTAAAGGCAATAATAAGGAAGTTGTTCAATGGATAGTTTGTTGTTGAAATTTGATGATTGTAGGTTGTCAAGTTGAAGATCTCAAATCATGAAAATGAGTGATAGCCATCACTTGGAAAATAAATACTAAATCGCATATAATGCATAACACACTCGAATTTTATCATCTTATTAGAAAGTGTTTAATAATGAAGATGCTAAGATTTGCAAAGTAATCGCAACTAAACCTATGCAATAAGTGAACCACAACATTCACAATTGCATGATAAAAATCAAGCATATTAAATATGGTTTTGATTTCTGTAAATGTTTTATGAAGTGTATTACTCTTAAGAAATTTGGGATAACCATTTATCATAAGATGAAATGTTTGAAAGTTTCATAGTGGAATAAAATTTTACTAATTATTCCACAAACTATTTAATTATGGTTTAAAATTAAATAATGAGTCCATTCGATTTGAACATTCAAAATAGGGTATCAAGACCATGTCATGGACAAAGAAACACATATTAAGTGAACGTTGAGTATCATATCAAAATTATCCCTAATCGAAGTCATTAGAAAGTTGGACGACTAATGACCGGGTGAGATTGTGTGTAGTATGATTTATAGCATCGTTTCTTGTGCTACAAGGACAATTTTCATAAATCATTTGCACAGGTATCAGTTATACCGGATTGACCTGTGAGAATACTTTAAGAGATTTGACAATCGTTATAAGTATATCGCTCATTATGGCTATCAGAACCTTTTTCCTCGACCATGAGTGTTGTTAGTTCTCTTGTTTGAGTACTAGTCCGCTTTGATATTATCAAACGTCTGCCATAAAGGGGACTATAAAGGCAACAGTTGGGTGGCTAAGGCCTCTTTGTAAGAGAAGATAACAATGCAAGACTGGGAATTTTCCCCTATTAACAATAGGGAACATCTCTTTGTTGTTAACAAGGCCTCTTGAAGAGAAAGACTGTGAAAATGCATGGCCGTGCTCAGATTGATTTTCGAAATCATCTGCTTATTGACAGTCAAACTCGGAAATCGAGAAACACTTCTGGACGTAATAAGTATGAAGAAGAATCTTACCTTATAATTCATGAAGAGCCTTTAAGTGACATAGGAAATGGGCTATACACAATTAGCACACTTGTCCGGAAGGACAAGTGAGAGAGAGAAAGGATGGTGTCCTATGAACAAGTGTATTATTCCAATAGAGGGTTCAAAATTAATTAGAAAGCTAATTATTCAGTAAGGTCAAGTGATCAGAATGCCTAGCTAGAGGCCGCTTATGATTAGTAATATTGATGAATTATTAATAATATAGCTTAATCTTGACTGAACCCTTCAGGTCACACCCAATCGTGTAACCGAACCGAAACGACAAATTAATCCAAAGGATTAAATGAGTCAATAGAGTTTTATGAACAAAGACGTTGGAGAGCTTAGTGCGTTGAAACCGAGCATCAAGGGTCGAGTTGATTTTAGGATCGAAAAAGACGAGAAAAAAATTAAATAATATATTGTGGTAAAATTGCGGCATGGTAGTGGGCCTAGCCAGGGGAAAGGCCGCCATTAGGGCGTGCTTTGGAGCCCAAGGGTTGATGTCGGTCTTCCTTTGCGTTGACCAAGTGTGCCATGCACACAGGGTTGGTGGGTTTATGCTTTCCCTCCAAGGATGGGTTTGTGGTCCTTACCTACTCCCTCTTTATGTGATGACAATTGTCATTTGATTATTGTTTCATGACTTTTAATTTTTAGAATTAAATTAATTCCTATTTTTCTCACTTTACCAACTATCCCACATTGAAAGATGATGGGAATTCTTAAGGAGATTTCTCTGTAAATACTAATCATGGGGTATTGAGACCTTCACTTGAGTTGGCGGACTTTAAGGGATCTCCAAGAAGAGAAAACCTTTGTTCTAATAACTCTAAGTTATTTTTGGTCTAGCCTTGACTAAGCTTCGGGGTAAGGGCCAGGTCGGTTCGATAGGGAGGGTGTTAACCGCCGGAGGTTCGCGCATTTGCGGGACTCTACGCTTTCAAGTTCGAGCTCTAAGTACGAGCGAAGCACGCTACAAGGGTATTGGTTATTTCTCTCTCATCTTGATAATCATTTGATTATGGTTTTAATACATGCTTAGTTACTTTAATTTGTGTACGGATTTTGGGCGGGTTTCCTTCCGCGTGGTGTTAGACATCACGAAATCCAACAGAAATAGGTCGTCGTAGGACCAAGATAAAGACTAAGCCAAACAAACATACAAACACACAATCAGCAAAGCTGAGTACACAAGCATAAAAAGTACACACTAACATGCTCTCATTCTATGAACACACAACTTACCTTTATGCACCTGTTTACAAGCATACAACACAACCAACCAATACATAGTTAAATAAATTGCTTATTTAAATTGATTATGCATCGAACAGGTTTCCCACAATTCCCTGGCCCAAATAAATTGAGGTAAACTACATCAGGAGCTAACCGGGTAGGCAAATGCCACATGAAAGTGACTGGACGTCCTGCGCATAAAATAAATAAATGAAAATACAGCGTCCTGTACTCCCAGTTGAAGTTATGGTCAAATATATAGTCGCATAATTTCCCCCATATGTTTATACTCGAGTTAAATACGTTCCAAGAGTTTTAGTGCGTAGTCTCTTTCACTTTACGTGATTTACATATTTTTAGACTTGGTGATGACTCTCAAACCATACTACAATTAATCATAATAAATCATTCAAGCAATCAAACCCACCAATTTGATTCTTGAATAATTAAGGACCATAAAAATTTAATGTTGAATCCTTCCTAAACTACCTCGGCGTTAAATAACACCTTAAGCGCATAAAGCACCGCAAATCCTATCCCTCAGTGTTAATAACACCTTAAGTGCACTTAGGCACCGCATTACATTTTATTCCTGCGTACTAAGATAATTAATAGCTCAATTCTCATGCTTAAAGCATCAATAAAAATTATATGAACCATAATAAAATTCCCTTTAAATACTCTAAACCAAATTAAACATTTAGTTTAATTAAACCTTCTCTCAATCATGCCAATAATAAAAGTGTGGTTCATATTCAACATGCCAACATAATTAATTCCAATTAGCAATTCACCACAAATAATTCATACTTCACAAATCAATCACCAACATCAATCCAATCAACAATTCCAACCAATACCAATCATGATAATACCTTGGAATTAATTAAACAAAGCTTAGCATGCTTCTATACACTTAAATAATTACCGAGTACGCGAACGTACCTTGAATATGATCTCAAAATCGCCACGACTACACGAAATTACACTTTTGGAAATCTCCTACAACCCAAAATTACAAAGAGACATTAATACCTAGTTAATATAAATTTCCTGCTATATATACACATTCTTTAAATCACTTATAAACCCTCTAAAACAAGCCGAAAAGAATTTAAAACCCCTACTTTTATTCCCAATTAATAGGTAATTAAAAAATCCTTTCAAGAAACATAATTCTAACCTTTATATATTAATTCCTACTTTATAAAAACATGTAAAGTTGCTGTAATTATGTTTCAATCACCTATTATAATAATTCCAACCAACTACAATCAATTTCCATCAATATACATTAATTTAAAAACCTAGGGTTTTCAATGTGGGGCTTTTAAATTCAAAAACAAAATCTGAAATTTATATACATAATAATCATAATTATATCTTAAAAATCATCACACAATCTAAAAGTAATGATTTATATCAAGGCTAGATTAGAATTAAAACTAGAAGAATTTTTATTATTTTTTTTTTCGCACAACCACAAGACAGGGAGGGGGGCGGCGGCTGCTTGTGGCTTCTGGCGGCGGTGGTCGGCTGATGGGAGGTGGTGGTGGCGGTTGGCCACCTTGTATGTGCATGTTGGGGTGTAAAAAAAATAAAGGGGAGGGGGAAAATTAAGGGAGAGAAATAAAGAGGAGAGAGAGAGAGAGTTTACCTATGGTTATTTTCCACCTTGGGCAAGATCTAACTTGCTCATAAGATGGGTATTTATACCCCCTCTCAAAACCCTCTTATCCTTAAATTCTCTTTCTACCCTTAATGATCCAAAGTATATACACATTATTTGCACATTCCACTAAAAGGTGGAAGATTTTAGTTGACAATGTCCCAAGTTTAAATGTTAAATCTTTGTGCAATACTAGATGGGAGAGTCGAATTAAGAGTGTTAAAGCTATAAGGTTTTAATCTCCTCGAATTAGATTAGCTTTGTTGGAATTATATAATTCTAGTGGTGATGACGCTAATATTGCTAAAACAAAAAGTGAAGCCGAAAGTTTGGCTAATTCTCTTGCAAGTTTTGAATTTTTACTTGGCATGGTAATTTGGTATGACATTTTATTTGCTATTAACATTGTGAGTAAAAAGTTGCAATCTAAATCCATGAGTATTGGAGTTGTCATGAACGAAGTGCAAGGTATGACAACATATTTTGAGAAATATAGAATTCAAGGGTTTGAATCTAGTTTAAATACTGTCAAAATCCTTGCACTTGATATGGATATAGAGCCAACATTTCCAATAAAGTGTCGCATCACTAGAAAAAGACAATCTGATGAGAATGAGAATGACGTTAATGATGAGGAAATACAATCAGCCAAGGAATCTTTTAGAGTCAATTATTTTTTGGTGGTTGTTGATATTGCAATAGCTTCTTTGAAAGATAGATTTGAGCAATTGGAGGTATTTGATAACATTTTTGGTTTTTTATTCGATGCAAAAAGGCTGAAGTCATTGGATAATGACGATTTAAGAAAATCTTGCACATGTTTTATGACTACCTTTACATAATAATTTTTCGGATGTTGATGCAGATGATCTTTTTTCTAAATTGAAAGTGTTACAAATGACTTTGCCAAATGATTTGATGTCAGCATTTGAAATCCTTGAGTTTGTCAAAGATGCTAATTGTTATCCAAATGTTTCTATTGCCTATCGAATCCTATTAACTATGCCGGTGACAGTTGCATCTGCTATAAGAAGTTTTTCGAAGTTAAAATTACTAAAGACCTACTTGAGATCTTCAATGTCACAAGAAAGGTTGAATGGTCTAGCTACTTTATGTATTTAGAAAAATATGTTAGAACATATTAATGTAGAAACTATTATTAGTGACTTTGCATCTAGAAAGGCTCGTAGAAATATTTTCATATGAACACTTAGGCTTTGATTTCAATGTTTTATCTATATGAAATTTGATGTTTTTAAAGATTATTATGCGTAATAAAATATGTAGTTTTTTGCTTACTCAATTTTTATTTTATTTCAAAATATTTATGTGAATTAGGGCCCCAATTTATGTCTTCGCCCAAGGCCACCAAATTTCTGAAAAGACCCTAGAAGTAAATAACTATTTAAGTAAAATTAAGTCTTGGTTGCTCACACATTAACACCTCGACCAAAATTGTAATTTGTGTCTCACGTTTGGCAAAATTAGTCCGGTGTTGAATTATGCTACCTAGAACATTCTAGAGCTATATTCAGTTAAGTAGTAGATTGGAGGTTAATCATGATTATTAAAGAATATTAAAAACATCATGAATGCCCAACCCTTTTTTATAATTTAAGGCTGGTTAAAATTACACAAATGGAAGAAGTACATGACAATTACAACAAATAAAATATCAAGATAGCTAAAGAATAAGCTAGCTTGAACATTCATCATAATGCTAGAAGACTTATTCAGCCAACATCAAGCAACTATAAATTGAAGGTGTTGTTATGCATTTCATAAATGTTCAAGAAGCTATACAATAAAATCTATCATCCACAATATACGAGTCTTCCTTCATAAAATGCTCTCCTCTCAGTATAATTTCAGCTTTAATTACTCCTTTGTTATTTTTATTTTGTGAGAGTTATATATTGTAATTTATCACCCTAAATATTTGAAATCCCTTACATACCCATACTCCCCTTCGTTTTAATTTTAAAATGCAACAGTTTGACTTGTACTTACCTATAATTTTGCTTAAAATAATTACTAATATACTTCGTACAAATAAATACATGTTACTCTGTAATAATGTTTGACTAAAATAACTTTACTTATTCAACTAGGTGCAATATATATAATATATATAAGATTGTAAACTGATGATGCATATGAAGTGATTTAATATAAAATCCCACAAAGCTAGCTAATAATAAACTAGAGGGATAAGTATCTTATTATTAGGAAAGCTAGAATATGATAAGTGATGTGTGGCGTTTATGCCACCATTTCACCCTATTTCATTAGAGATTTCCCCCGAATTGTCACTTGCTTATTTCTTTTCTTACCCATTTTATCTCGATTTTGAGTTGCTTTAGCTCCCTCTCATGTTTTCCCTTTTCTTTTGTCTTTTCTTCTACTTTCACTCCCTTTTCGTGTGTTTTGACAGTTCCTAGCGCTCGCGGGCGATTTTTCGATCAATTGTTGAAATAGTGTTGCTAGGAAGCTTGCTAGAGGAGTAAAGATACCAAGAAGGAGAGGGCGCGCAGCAGCGAAGGGCCGCGGGCGCGGGGAAGATAGCCGCGGGCGCGGACAGGGCTTCAAGCGAGCAATCCAAAATTTCTGAGATGCCCAAGTGATGGCTAGCCGCGGGCGCTGCATTGCGGGTCTGGCGCAGCTTGCACCCAGCTCGGAGAGGGCGCAGCTGTTGACTAGAGAGCCCTCTCTCTTGCCCATTTCTCCTTATTTTAGAGAAGACTATAAATACCTCTTGGCTTGAATTTTTAAGGACACTATTCCATTAGCATCAAAAACATTACTTAGAGAGAGAAAATCTAGGTTTTCTAGAGAGAGAAAAACACTTATCCTTCATGGTTTAATCTTTGTAATCAAATATTCAAGCTTACTTCTAGATTGTCGCTACTACTTTGATGATTTGGTAATCTTTCATTTTTATAATATCAATCTTTACTTTTTTTCTCTAGTTTTTTATTTTCTTGGTTTTATTGTTCTTACATAAGTTTTCCTTCATAAATATTCAAGCTTCATTAGTTACTTTGATTTCCTTTGAAGTTAGAATCATGTTAGGTTGTGTTGATTTCGAATATAAGCTTATGTTAGTTGTTATGGCTATTCCTTTTCTTCTAGCTTAGGTTTTTATCTAGGGAAGGGGGTGAAAATCATGTGTATTTGATTATCTATTGATTATTGATTGGGATTTATTCTTGAGTTGATGATTTGAGCTAAAATATGCTTGGAGTTAGTATGTGCACCTCTAATCCCAAGAGTCTAGCCCTTGATTGAATGCATGAGAATGATTTAATCTAGGTGTAAATGATTTCATCAATTTGCTTGAGTAGTTACATGAGAATGAACTATCTTAGGTAGAGTTTATACTCCTAGAATTGGTTCCTTATCGGTTTTCATTAATATTCATTGTTCATGATTGAATCCCCCTCTCCCTAGTGCTTTTGTCATTGTTATCTCTTAAATCTAATCCTTTTACTTGCATATAGAAGTGCTTTTTCTTATCCCTTGTTTTTAGCTTATACTAGACTCATTAGTTGATAGTTTGTCTATAGGACTTCTCACACCTACATCTCAACACCCTATTTGTTACTAGCAATTTATCCTAGATATCTATTAATTGTGCTAAACCCCCGTTTCCTTGGGAATCGACCCTACCTTAACACTATTTAAAGTAATTTTGATAGAGATAGGTTAGGAGATATAAATTGTAATTTTTATCTAGGATAGTAAATTAACGACCTATTGTTCAACGATCAAAATTTTGGTGCCGTTGCCGGGGAAACGGCTTGTTTTGCACTTTTAATTTGTGTTATTAGTGGATTTGTTGCTTTTTGTATTGTTCTTTTTCACTTGCTAGTCATTGCTAATTGTTTGCTTAGCTTTGGTGAATGCAAAGAAGATCTCAAGGACCACCTACTCACGACATTGATCACGAAATCGATCGCACCTTGAGACAAGTCCGTAGACTTTATCAAGAAGAGGGGCGAGGTTTTGATGCCATTTTTGATAGTGAAAGTGATTCTGGGTCCTCACATTCCCAAGGAAACGAAATGGCGGGACAACAAGTGGATGTTTTATTTCGTGAGTTTGGTAATCCGGAGGATTATGAGCTCACCGGTAGGATATTGCTACCCGTCACGGAAACTAATTTCACCATCCATCCTCAATACACTCGAATGGTTCAAGCGGAGCAATTCTCAGGCTCGCCAAGTGAAGACCCCATTGAGCATCTTGATAGATTTCTTGAACTTTGTGCCATGATACAAACCAACCAAGTTTCTCAGGAATACATTCGGATGCACCTCTTCCGACAATCTCTTGCGGGGAGGGAAAAGAAGTGGCTCAAGCAAGTCAACCCTAATTCTCTCACAACATGGAGGGAAATTGTCTAAGAATTTTTGAAAAGGTTCATCTCCGAAGAGAAAACCGCTGACATGAGGAGGAAGATTGCATCTTTTGAACAAGAGGCGGAGGAAAGCCTTAGTGAAGCTTGGGAGAGGTTTAAAGAGTTGGTGCAAGCATGTCCTCACCATGAACACAATCAAAGCTTACTCATGAGGTTCTTCTATGATGGCTTGGAACCGATGTCTCGAGCTAATTTGGATGCGGGGGCGGGTGGACAATTGATTAAAGTCCCTCAAAATAAAGTTGATGCAACAATTGAAGAGGTAGTCAAAAACTACTCTTGGGGAGGTAGAAGGAGGAATGCGCCAAAGAAAGGTGGAAAATATGAGTTGGAAAAAGTTGATCAATTGCAACATCAAATTGAGCTTTTGACAAAGGGGCTCGCAAAGTTGAACACCAATGTCACTAGTGGTGCAAGATCCTCTTAAGTCAACGCTTTCTCTTGTCAAAATTGTGGTGGTACAAACCATGACACATCCTATTGTGGAGGTTTAAGCCCGGAGCATGTAGCGGCATACAACATAAGGCAAGAAGGATTTAGGGGAAATGGAGGAGGAGTAGCTTGGAGACAACCACCACCCGGATTTGGAAACCAACCCCAACAATGGAACCAACAAGCTGAACAACCATACAATTCCAACCCCCAATACCAAAACCCTCCTCCATACCAAAACCAATACCAAAACCAAAACCCAAGGGGAAACTACCCAAGGAACCATCAACAAAATAACCAACAGCAATACCAAAATCAAAACCAAGCAACTCAAAGAAGTCAAGAGCAAGTGTCTTAACTCGATTATACTCAAACCCAAATTCTTCAACAACATCAAGCCATGAACCAACAAATGCAAGAAGTCAAGGCCCATAACAAGATGGTTGATTCAAAACTAGCTCAATTGGCCGAGAGGGTTCCTTTTAACCCGCCATCTACTTTACCCGGGCAAACACAAACTAACCCTTCCAACATTGTGAAACCCGACTCTTGCGAAGCTATCACATTGAGATCGGGCGCATCCTATGAGGGTCCTAAGGAGGGAGTTAGTCAAGAAAAGAAGGGAGAAGAAGAGGTTATGGGTGAAGAAGAGGAAGTTTGAGAGAAGAAGAATGATGAGAAAGAGAGGAGTATGGAGAAAAAGAAGTCTAAGGATGTGGTAACATCCTCAACTTCTAGTGAAGCTAGAAATCTTGAGGGACCGGTTCCTTTTCCCGGTCGACTTGCGGAGAGAAAATTGAATGACAAATTTGCAAAGTTCCTAAGTGTGATGAAGAACTTGCACATAAACAACCCCTTCATTGAGGTAGTCACACAAATGCCTTCTTACTCTAAGTTCTTGAAAGACGTTCTCACCAACAAGAGGAAGCACAATGATGAGCTTATCACTCTTCCCCATGAAGTGAGTGCACTTGTTCAACACAAAATGCCCAAGATGCAAAAGGATTCGGGAAGCTATACCTTGCCGGTCAAGATTGGGAACATGGAAGCTAGGGGTGCCTTAGCCGACCTTGGAGCAAGTGTTAGTTTGATCCCTCTATCCATTGCTCAAAAGCTTAACATTGAGATGATCCCCACAAGGAAAACCATTCAATTGGCCGATCGTTCGGTGAAGCTACCTTGTGGTGAGCTTGAAGATGGTCCCTATTCAAGTTGGGCATATCTATGTGCCTTGTGACTTTGTAGTGATGGATATGGAAGAAGATGTGGATACACCTTTGATTTTAGGTCGTAAAGCTCTTAAGACCTTGGGGGCGGTAATAAATTGCAAGAACAATACCATTACATGTGAGGTTGCCGATGAAAAAATTATCTTTGAATTCTCTAAGCTACTCAAGTCGCCCATGGTTGAGAGTTGCTACAAGGTTGATGTTGTCAATGAAGAGCTATATCGTTTGGGATGGGTTATGATGAGTCTCCAAGATCCAATGGTTGAAGCTCTCACATGTGAGGAAGAGTACTTCTCTCAAGAAGCAAAGGAGTTTGCCATGGCCATTGAAGAAGCCAAAGAGGAGGAAGCGAGTGATTCTAAGCATGATGAGGTAGAATTTGAGGAGGTAAAATTGGAGGAGAGTCCTAAGCCTCCTCCCAAGGTAGAACTCAAACCCCTTCCCCCTTCTTTGAAATATGCTTATCTTAGAAATGAAGGGGAATATCCTGTTATTGTCAATGCTTCCTTTGATGGTCTTGATTTGGAAAAGTTGATTGTTGTTTTAAGAAAATATGGAAATGTGATAGGGTATAACATTGATGATATCAAGGGTATTAGCCCTTCTTTGTGCATGCATCGTATTCACCTTGAGGATGATCAATCCACCTCGATTGAGCCTCAAAGGAGGTTGAGCCCCAACCTCCAAGAGGTTGTCAAGAAAGAAATTTTGAAATTGCGTGAAGCGGGTATAATATATGCTATCTCCGATAGCAAGTGTGTTAGCCCGGTTCACGTGGTTCCAAAAAAGGGTGGAATGACCATTGTCAAGGGAGAAGGAGGAGAGGAAATCTCCACCCGGACGGTGACCGGGTGGAGGATGTGCATTGACTATAGGAAGTTGAACAAAAACACTAAGAAAGATCATTTTCCTCTCCCCTTCATGGACCAAATGTTGGAGAGACTCTCCCATCATGCTGTCTTTTGCTTCTTGGATGGATATTCCGGCTTTTTCCAAATTCCAATCCATCCGAGTGATCAAGAGAAAACTACTTTTACATGTCCATATGGGACATTTGCATTCCGAAGAATGCTATTCGGGTTATGCAATGCTCCCTCAACTTTCCAACGATGCATGACTTCAATTTTTTCTGAAATGCTTGAAAATGAAATTGAAGTTTTCATGGATGACTTTAGTGTTGGTGGCTCGTCTTTTGACACATGTCTTTATAATCTTGAGTAAGTTTTGAAAAGGTGTCAAGAGATGAGTTTGGTATTGAACTGGGAGAAATGTCACTTTATGGTCGAGGAAGGCATAGTCCTAGGCCATATAGTATCAAAAAAGGGCATAGAAGTTGATTCGGCAAAGGTTTTGTTGATTGCCAAGTTGCCCCCTCCTACTTCCGTTACGGGAGTAAGAGCCTTTCTAGGGCATGCCAGTTTTTACCGGAGGTTTATCAAAAAAATTTCATCAATTGCCAAGCCTTTGACCGAATTGCACAAAAAGGATGTTGTATTTAGCTTTGATGAGGCTTGCCTTGAGGCGTTTTAAAAGCTCAAGGAAGCCCTCATCTTCTCTCCCGTTGTGCAAGCTTCGGATTGGAGCTTGCCCTTTGAACTAATGTGCGATGCTAGTGATCTTGTAGTAGGTGGCGTGCTTGGACAAAAGAAAGAAGGAAGATCTAGTGTCATCTACTATGCAAGTAAAACGCTTGACGAAGCTCAAAGGAATTATACCACAACGGAAAAAGAAATGCTAGCGGCTGTCTTTGCCATGGATAAGTTTAGATCCTACCTTATATGCTACAAGGTGATCGTGTACATGGATCATGTAGCGGTTCGTTATCTCACGACCAAAAAGGAAGCAAAACCGTGTCTTATCCGTTGGGTTCTTTCGCTACAAGATTTTGATATTGAGATGAGGGATAAAAAGGGAGCGGAGAACTATATAGCATATCACTTGTCTAGGCTTCCTTTTAAGAACAAGGAAGATGTTCCTATCAATGATGAGGTGGGATTTGAAACCCTCATGGCTATGGCTTCGACATCTAGCCCTTGGTACGCAGACATAGCCAACTATCTAGCATGTGGATTTATTCCCCCGGAGTTTACCTATCAACAAAAGAAGAGATTTTTTAAATAAGTGGGGAGGTATTTTTGGAATGATCCTTATTTGTTCAAGCAATGTGGAGATGGCCTCTTTCGGAAATGTTTACCGAATCACGAGATAGAAGGAGTTCTTGAACATTGCCACTCAATGCCGTGTGGAGGGCATGGAGAAGTTGAAAAGATCGTGGCAAGGATCTCCCAATCTCTTCTTTGGTGGCCAACAATGCATAAAGACACCCATAAGTTCGTTTCAAGGTGTGACAAATGCCAAAGAAGTGGGGGCATAACCAAAAGAGATGAAATGCCCCAGCAGAACATCTTGAAGGTTGTACCCTTTGATGTTTGGGGAGTCGACTTTATGGGGCCCTTTGTTTCCTCTTGTGGGAGTCTCTATATCTTGGTGGCGGTGGACTATGTGACCAAATGGATCGAAGCTATACCCTCCCCCACCAATGACCACAAAGGTTGTGCTCAAGCTTCTTAAGAAGACTATTTTCCCGCGATTCGGGGTTTCGAGAGTTCTAAATAGTGATGGTGGTTCTCATTTTGCCAAGAAACAACTCCAAGCTCTCCTCAAGTGATATGGAGTTCATCACAAGGTTGGTCTCCCTAACCACCCTCAAACTCAAGGACAAGTGGAAGTGTCCAATAGAGAGATCAAAAACCTTCTTGAGAGGATGGTGAACAAGTCTAGAAAAGATTGGTCTCTCAAGCTCGATGACACACTTTGGGCTCTAAGGACGGTGTACAAAACCCCCATAGGCACAACCCCTTATCGGTTGGTGTATGGGAAGGCTTGTCATTTGCCGGTTGAGTTGGAATACAAGGCTTGGTGGGCGATCAAGGAGCTCAACATGGATATGAACTTAGCGGGTGAGAAAAGATTGCTTAAGCTTAATGAACTTAAGGAGCTCCAGTATGACGCCTATGAAAACTCAAGGCTCTACAAGGAGAGGACTAAGAGATGGCACGACCAACATATAAGGAACAAGAGCTTCAAAGTTGGAGACAAGGTGTTGTTGTTCAACACTAGGCTCCGTTTATTTCCCGGAAAACTAAAGTCAAAGTGGTCGGGGCACTTCACAATTTTGAGAACTACTCCATATGGATCCTTTGAGTTGGAAGCGGAGGGGAACAAGTTTATGGTCAATGGGCATCGTTCGAAGCTCTATCATTGCAATAATCAAGTGGGTGTAATTGAGAGCATAAGGCTTGATCCTTCGGATCCAAAGCCGCCCTTTTGATGATGATGTGTTATGATCAAGCTAATGACCTTTTAAAGAAGCGCTTCTCGGGAGGCAACCCGAGTTCTCAAATCTTTTGATTTTTGTGTTTTTTTTGTGTTTGATTATTCTTGGATGATTTTCCTTAGTTCTCTTATGGTGTGTGTTTTGCTTTTCATATAAGTGCTTGAATCATTGAGTACTTGGCCTACAATTTTGATTTGAATGTGTTAAGGAGTTTGGATGAGAAGAAGTTGGAGATGCCTGGGAGATGCCCAGGAGAGGGCTCTCCATCAAGGCCCGCGGGCGCGACATCAAAGCCCGCGGGCGTGGCCTTCCTTGATGCTAAAATGTTGAGAAGGGGGAGATGCCTGGGAGATGCCCAAGAGAGGGCGCGGAGCCAGGTTGCCGCGGGCGCGGCATAAGAAGCCGTGGGCGCGGCTTTCAGCAAATTTCAGCATACAAGGTGGAGATGGCTGGGAGATGCCCACCCGCGGGCGCGGCCTTCAAACCCGCGGGCGCGGCACTGCGGTTTCTGCGATTTTAATCGGGCTTCATCTCTTTATTTCCGAAACCATTTCCCCTAAATTTTCAGATTTTTCCACTCTTTCTCTCTCTCTCTCTCTACCCTTCACTCCTCTTCAAACCCTAGCTCAAATTGCATCAACTCCCTCCCCAAAATCATCAAAATTCGTCAAATTTCATCAACAAAAATATGAATTTCAACCATCAAAAACCCCAAAATTTCGGTTCTACTCCTTGTGTGGGATTTGGTTTCTTCATTGAGGGGTTCTTGGAGGTGGGCTTCTCTTCTTCTTCAAAGGCTAGTAGGAGTACTCATTGGAACTCATTGTTGGTATACATTTCTTTCTTACTCTCTATTTCCTTTGAATTTGATGTGTATGCTTGTTGGAGAAAACTTCATATTTGTGAATTTTCATGTTGAAATTCTTGATGGTTGTACTCCTGTTTTATGCTCATATATCATCTTAATCATTAGTGATTTTTGAGTTGTTGTTTGTTATAGTTTTCTCTCCTTATAGATTTCTCGATTGTGAGTTATCTCTCCGTATTGATTTGGAAGTGTTCTTTGTGGTATTCGATTGGTTTTGGAAATTGTTGTAGTTGATTATTGGTGTAGATTGTGAGGTGATTTTCTTGGTGCTTGCATATTTGTGTGGGTAAATATGGTGTTCGGTTTAAAGAAAAGAAAGAGCAGGAAAGCACCACAAGGTTCATCATCCGCAAGCCCCAACCCAATTGAGCAACCCAACCCACCACTACCACCCATCAAATTTCACGATAAGAATCACAAACCTAGATATGATAACCTTCAAAACCGAAAATTGAGACCAACTAAACACTATCATCAACCTACCACTAACAAACTCGACATTGACGAGGATTGTTGGTTCCTGTTCAATAACCTCGGGCTAGGCTCCTTCATGACAAATGCCTTTCGAACTTACAAAGAGCCAACCCTTAAGTTCCTTGCCTCTTTTGAATGTCATGCTGCCGGAAATCGAGAACTCACCATCTCTTTCCAGCTATTCACTAAAAAAGAAACCTTCTCCCTTTGACAGTTTAACCCACTGTTAGACCTTAACCCAGATGCAGATATGTTCTTCCTAGAGCATGAGGGACTCCATGATTATGAGCCCCTTCATTGGTGGAAAGTCCTTAAAAGATTGAATGCCTTCAACTCCAAATTTTCCCTAGCTAGCCAAATTATGCACCTAGCCATGCGCCTTCTACATAGATTGCTTGGGTATATGGTCTTCAACAAGCAGGATTTGGGGAAAATTACCACTGAAGAGATCCGAATACTATGGCTTTCTACAAGGCCAGAGATTGGGCGCAGAATGAACTTCGGGTATCTCTTTACTAAGTGTGTTGAAGGTTTCCTCTCGGGCACAAAGAAGGGGGAGATTCACTTTAGGGGGATGATTATTAGGTTGGCTGAGAAGTTGGGCCACGGTGATAAATTGGAGTCTTGCACCCCCGTGGGGAAAAGTGATGGGAGCGACATTTGGCTAGACCTCGATCAGTTAAAGACCATGAAATTCATCGCCGATACTGGGGATCGAGGACGAACTTGGAGCTTACTTGTTTCACATGAGCATCATTGCTTCCTCCCTAAGCCAAGGTTCACTTCTCACACGAGGGAAGGGGTTAGTCACCCTTGGTGGGTCAAGAAAGACTCGGGAATCCTCCCTAGTGCTAGGATGGAATTGGGTGAGGACTCCGGAGAAGGTTTGGGCCGGAGGAAGATGAAGAGGTGATAAGAGTTTCCCCTTTTAGGCAACAACAAGAAGAAGAAGAAAGTAGCCAACAACAACAACAACACGCTCATCCCGGCTACCAACGGGAAATGGAAGTAATGCGGGCACAAATGGAAAGCATGCAACTTGGCATGCAAGGTATGTTTGCTTCCCACCAACACCTTTCTTACCAAACCAATGCTTTGTATGATTTAAGTGTACGTAGAGGGGATGTCACCCCCCCCGGTCAACTACCCATATCTGCCGGCCTAACAAGGGCCCGTGCCATCTTGGGGGGATGACAACCAATCTATGTACCCCTATTGGCAAGGGTCTTCGGACCCTAATGTGCCTAGGCGCGATTTCCCTGATGAGTCCAGTCATTATGATTACCGGGTTTTTGGTGGGAGTGATTACAGGGGTGATCCTAACTACCCCTATGTCGATCCCTCTCACCCCGCACCCCTTGTCCAACCCGAACCATATGACCAATTATCCGCATCCCAACTTGACCTCTTCAAAGGCCATTATGGGTGGCCACCTGGCTACTTCGGAGGTTGGGACCCCTCTGGGCCCCCCTCGGGTTTCTCTTATGACAGTTGGAATGCGGATAACGATGGTGCTGGCCCTAGAGGCCATTATTTTCCCCCTTGTTCTTTTTGTTCCCTCCCTTCGTTGCCCCTCCCTTTTATTCCATGATTTTATCAAGCATCGGGGACGATGCTTTACTCTAGTGTGGGGGGGTGTTTGATTCAAAGGAGAGTGTTAGGGAATGCTGTAGTTAAGTGTGGGGGAAAAGCACCTAGGACTCATGGGACTTTTTAAGGGGTTTGGGTTTAGGTGTATTGGTAGCATTGTGATTTCTTAATCATGGTATGTTTGGGTAGTAGGTCATACCCAAATGATTGAGTTCATGGATTTTCTATCTCTCTTTAGTACTAACTTCTTTTTTTTTGTAGTGTTTGTCTTGTTTTTTTTTTTTCTCTCTCTCTCTTGTAGCTTGGAAGAAATTGGAAGCAACATGTGGAGACACGGTAAATTGCATGGTTGCTTTATTCTTTCTTCAAGAGACATGGGTTAGATCTTTCCTTCTCGTGTTGTGTTTAGTTTAGGATTTAGCTTAGGAAGGAGTTGAATGGTTCGAGGATGTTTGCATGCGGTTCCGAGGAACCTGGGATAGTTGGTATTGTTACCGAACAATCACTTGTATGTCGATTGGGATTAATATGAATCTTTACGCCTCTTGTATGAACACTTTTGATTCCTTTCTTCTTTTGTTCCACTTTCGTTTGTGTGATAAGCATAACTATGGCGTGATGATACGGTAGTATCTTGGAACTTGCTTGCTAGGTTTGGACTCTATCTCCGTGATGATGCACTCTAGAATGTTTGTCCTTCTTCTTAAATTTGTGATGAGATGCACATTTCGAGATTATTATTGATTGAATTAGTCGAGTCTTAGTCAAGGTAGCAAGGGCAAGAACTAGTGATGGCATTTGAACCATTAGTTCACGGTTTGTGGTAAGATGGAGTTGCTCCTCATGGTGGATTTGACGCCCCCTAGTTGGTAGTTGCTTACTCTTCTCGTCCCCAGTGAGGTACATTTTGTTCAAGCCTTCATCCACTTGTTGAGTGGCATTTTTAGGATCCTCGTCTATGCATGCTTGAATCCTTTTGTTGACTATTAGCTCCCAAGATCGTGACCTTGGACTTTTGAGGGAGGAAAAGGGCACCATTTCTCATTTTCATTTATATTTTCTTTGATTAGTTACAAATTTGATTTTCTCTTTTGCATCAACCTCCTTGCCAACCAATTTGAGCCTAATGTTTCCCATTCTTGTTTCAACCCCATTACAAGCTTAATGACCTATGTTTTACCAACCCTTTTAGTTAGTGAAGCATTGGGCTTGTAAGGCTAGTATGAAGAGTGTGGTGGGTATAAGCAAGATTCTTTTATGAAATTGGTTTGGAGCAAAGTCTTGTGATGAAAGCATAACATGTAAGAAAAATTTGGGAATTTTGGTGAAAAAAAAAAATAAAAAATTGAATGAAATGAGAAATTGATCTATCTTGTATATCCTTGAATAAGGTTAGTGATGCGAATGAAATCAAAATGTTTAGATGTTCGTTTGAGTTGTGGTTGTGTTTTGAGTTTTGACCTTGAGGGTTGCCCTTCCTCTTGCTTCACTTAGGAATTACCGCCACTATTTCAAATTGTTCTTCCGACCTCTACCTTAAGCCGTGTCATTACAACCCATGTAAAGCCCTTTAGACCTTAGAAGTACGTGGTCAATAGATGAGATGTCAGGATGATCTTTTACCTCCTCAAAATAATTCTTTTTCCGGTTCCTTCGTGGAATCATGAGGACCCACCTAGGGGGAATATTTGAAGCTAGTGGGGGGAACGTGGACTGTTTTAGAAGGGACTAGGGAGGAGGATGACTCATTAGTTCTCTATGCTTGGCTTAGACTTGACTCTTGCATTCTTTAGCATCTTAAGGCGTGCATGCATCATGTATTTGAGAATGGCTAATATTCTTTGATATTGTTTATCATGGTTGAGTCCGAATAAAGCAATTGTCCATTTTGAAATCTAATGTTGTTTTTCCAAAGCCATGCCATATTATGTTTATCTTTGTGGTGTTTGTTTTATCTTTCTCTTTTTGGTTTTGCTTGAGGACAAGCAAGAGGCAAGTGTGGGGGATTTTGATGTGTGGCATTTATGCCATCATTTCACCCTATTTCATTAGAGATTTCCCC